TAAATATAAAAACCTCTAGACCAATTTTTATTAATACGGGTCTAAAGTATGAATGAAACAGTTTTAAAAATTAAAAATAAAAAACTGAAGAAAAAGAAACTCTTGACAATGACAAAACTGAACATAACCTCAAAAGTGAAATAAATTGTGTATAAAAATGAAATTACAACCACAGAAAACGGGTTTTAAACACGAAGCACAATTTATAGGTTAGATTCAAAACAAAATCCGCGAGTTTCGCGTGCCAACGGTTCGTTTCCGGTATAAAATAAGTGAGGTGCACCTCGCTAAAGGCAGGACGAATTTAAAGAGAGTTGAAAATTAGCATTCGCTCAACTCTGTTGTTTTGTATACAGGGGGAAATATTATTTTTTTTTATATTCTCTGTGCCGAAATATTTATATATAGAAATTAGCTAAATTTAATATTTGAGAGCAATTAGCTAAATTTAATATTAAGAAAATTAGCTAAATTTAATACTAAATAAATTAACTAAGTTCATTATTAAGTGTGGGGCTCAAAGAAAAAGTGGTATAAAATAACAGTGCGAGCAAAAGTGAGTTAACTTTTCTGACGGGTAAGAATGGGCCAGATGAATGCTGCGAGGAAAAACAGAATTTCTTTCGAGCGCGAGCAAAAGCGGGCTAAATGGCTATCCCATTTTTGCTCTTAGTCAAAAGTTGATCCGCTTTTGCTCGCACCGTAAAGTCTATAGTAATGTCGAGATACGAGCCGTCGCTACATTTTGACAATTTGACGTTTGATTCCATTTGGTTTATTTTACTTTTATTTAATTGTTTCAATGTGTGAATAATAAAATAAGAATAAATAATAAAAATAATAATAATAATGTGTGAATATTGATAGAATATTCCTTTAAAGTGAACAGAATATTTCTTCCAAAACTTATTTTTAATATTTTGTTGTTGTTGAAAAATTTGTTAGTTACATTAAAAATATGATCATGTTATTTATTTATTTATATGTAGATAAATAATTTCCTAATATTTTTCAAGTTTTTAACATGCTAATTTTTACTGGAAAACTTTTTCATTTTTCTCGAACATTTTTCTCGAAAAATTATTTTCAAAAGGTTGTTAAATAACAAATTTTAATAATTGAAATTAACAAAAAATTTCAAGTCAAAATTCCTAAACATTATAACTCTATTTCTTCCAAAGTTCAATTATTAAAATTTTTTTAATAAAAGTTTAGTTTCATAAGTCAATTTCAATTATTGTAATAAAATTTTTTAGAAATTTAATTATGTTTAAAAAATCTCGCATTAAAAATTCCTTAAAATGTAATTACTGACCTAAATTTGTGAAAAAAAGTAAGTATTTCAAATATACAAAAATTTGTATTTCAAATTTCCTACATTTATATTATTTACAAACTTTTTAACAAAAATTATATTTCAAATTAATTATTTTCAAAAAATTATAGTATGAAATTTAAGGCAAATTTTTAGCAATTAAAATTTACAAATATTCGTAGTTTAATTTTTCTAAAATTCAATTTTTATTAAATATACATTAGAATTTAGATTGAAATTTTAAATAATTAAATTTTAATGTGCCTGAAGTTGCCATCGATGCTCAGCATCGAAATTTTTTTTTCATCAGACCATCAATTTTTTCGCATTTTCGTACTCAAGTAGGTACCCAATAAATACCTAATAAGTTTCGTCCTATTATCGATAGGGGAAAGTTGTCAAATCAACCCCTAAATTTAAAAAAATAAAAAAAAATAGGAAAAAATTGTTATTTAAAAACTAATAACGAGACCATAAATTTTATTGCATAAAATGCATTCACTCGATGCCCAATGAATACAAAAAAATTTTGACCCGCAAGTCGATAGGGAAAAGTTGTCATTTTCAACCCTTAATATTTAAAAAATCGAAAAAAATTACAAAAAAATTTTTTATTAAAATTGCAGTTATCCTTTGACCAACGATTTTCTTTTTGTTTATTGTTTCTACATACTCCACTAATAATGAAAAATAATTTCAGAAAAATCGCCGCCCGGAAAACTTGACTTTTCTGTCCGTAAAAATTAAAAAATTGAAAAAAAATTAGAAAAAAATTTGTGAAAATTACAATTATCTTTTGACCAGGGATTTTCTTTTTGTTTATTGCTTCTACATACTCCACTAATAAGTAAAAATAATTTCAGAAAAATTGCCGCCCGGAAAACTTGATTTTTCTGCCCGTAAAAATTAAAAAATTGAAAAAAAAATAGAAAAAAATTTGTGAAAATTACAATTATCTGTTGACCAGGGATTTTCTTTTTGTTTATTGCTTCTACATACTCCACTAATAAGTAAAAATAATTTCAGAAAAATTGCCGCCCGGAAAACTTGATTTTTCTGCCCGTAAAAATTAAAAAATTGAAAAAAAATTAGAAAAAAATTTGTGAAAATTACAATTATCTGTTGACCAGGGATTTTCTTTTTGTTTATTGCTTCTACATACTCTACTAATAAGTAAAAATAATTTCAGAAAAATTGCCGCCCGGAAAACTTGATTTTTCTGCCCGTAAAAATTAAAAAATTGAAAAAAAATTAGAAAAAAATTTGTGAAAATTACAATTATCTTTTGACCAGGGATTTTCTTTTTGTTTATTACTTCTACATACTCCACTAATAAGTAAAAATAATTTCAGAAAAATCTATTTTTCAATTATTATTGTTTACAACAATTTAAAAAAATTATTATATGTTTTATTAATTGCCTAGTGGTCTTCTTGGATTATCTTGAACTGATTTAAATCATGTGCAGTAACGGAATAAGAAATAAAAGTCCATTTTAAAAAATTGTATTAATTTGTTAACTTTGATTAAACTAAAAAATTATAAACAATTAAAATCTCAAAAATCAGTCTCAAGGGATGTCATAAGAATTTATTCCCCTTTAATTTAAATACAAGAACACTCAAATCGTTTAAAAATTGTAGGCTGAAGACATTTTTGAAAAGTAAATTGTAAAAAAATCCCACTGTGTGTAGGACCAAAATGTCATTTGGTAGTCCCTATTCGATTTTCGTTCGTTGTGCTAAACGTGGAAAGCAACGTAGCGAGTCTTTAAATCTCAAGGTAAGCCGAAAATTGCCGAACGCACCCGAGCTAGGACCCAACAGGCAAACACTCAAGTTCGCGGAGAGAACAGGCGACGTTGAGAGTTTGTGTTGGAGAATTACTTCGGGTGTATTCGGGTAATCACGTCTTCCCGTAGGATTTAAAGTATCGCTGCATTGGCCGAGCACTGAACGAATGCCAAAAGAAGACACGATAAATAAAAATCTCCCCTTGAATTGCACAATTCGGACAAATGGCAACTGTGATTTTAACAATTTTTTTTCTTATTTTTTTGAGTTTTACTAATATTTACGGGCAAAAAGTAAAACTTTCCGGAAGGCAATTTTTTTAAAATTATGTACACATATTAGAGGAATATGTAGAAGTAATAACAAAGAAGAAAAAATCCCTGGTCAAAAAACAACTGTAATTTTTACATTTTTTTTTAATTTTTTCATTTTTACGGGCAAAAAATCAAAGTTTCCGGTCGACGAATTTTTTGAAATTTTGTTGATACATTAGGGAAATATGTAGAAGTAAGAAACAAGAAGAAAATCTCTCGTCAAAAGAAATTTGTAATTTTCACCATTTTTTTACCTATTTTTTCTTAATTTTTTTGTTTTTACGGGCAAAAAAGTCAAAGTTTCCGGGCGACAATTTTTTTGAAATTGTGTAGATACATTAGGGGAATATGTAGAAGTAAGAAGAGGAAGAAAATCTCTGGTCAAAAGACATCTGTAATTTTTATAATTTTTTTCTTATTTTTTTTTGTTTTTATGGTCAAAAAAATCAAGTATTCCGGTCGGCGATTTTTCTGAAATTATTTTTATTTATCATTGGAGTATGTAGAAGCAATAAACAAAAAAAAATCCCTGGTCAAAAGATAATTGTAATTTTCACAAATTTTTTTCTAATTTTTTTTCAATTTTTTAATTTTTACGGGCAGAAAAATCAAGTTTTCAGAGCGGCGATTTTTCTGAAATTATTTTTACTTATTAGTGGAGTATGTACAAGCAATAAACAAAAAGAAAATCCCTGGTCAAAAGATAACTGTAATTTTAACAAATTTTTTTCTAATTTTTTCTTCAATTTTTCGGGCAGAAAAATCAAGTTTTCCGGGCGGCGATTTTTCTGAAATTATTTTTGCTTATTAGTGGAGTATGTAGAAGCAATAAACAAAAAGAAAATCCCTTGTCAAAAGATAATTGTAATTTTAACAAATTTTTTTCTAATTTTTTTTTAAATTTTTTAATTTTTACGGGCAGAAAAATCAAGTTTTCCGGGCGGCGATTTTTCTGAAATTATTTTTACTTATTAGTGGAGTATGTAGAAGCAATAAACAAAAAGAAAATCCCTGGTCAAAGGATAATTGTAATTTTCACAAATTTTTTTCTAATTTTTTTTCAATTTTTTAATTTTTACGGGCAAAAAAGTCAAGTTTTCCGGGCGGCGATTTTTCTGAAATTATTTTTACTTATTAGTGGAGTATGTAGAAACAATAAACAAAAAGAAAATCGCTGGTCAAAGGATAACTGCAATTTTAATAAAGTTTTTTGTAATTTTTTTTCGATTTTTTAAATATTAAGGGTTGAAAATGACAACTTTCCCCTATCGACTTGCGGGTCAAAATTTTTTTGTATTGATTGGGCATCGAGTGAATGAATTTTATGCAATAAAATTTATGGTCTCGTTATTAGTTTTTAAATAACAATTTTTTCCTATTTTTTTTTATTTTTTTAAATTTAGGGGTTGATTTAACAACTTTCCCCTATCGATAATAGGACGAAACTTATTAGGTATTTATTGGGTACCTACTTGAGTAGGAAAATGCAAAAAAATTGATGGTCTGCTGAAAAAAAATTTTCGATTCTTGTCTGATTGTAAAGTAATTGAATTTAAATTTAAATACCTAAAACTTGAAATAATTATATTATTCTTAAATTAAAATTTTAAAAAATTGAATTTGTTAATTAATTTTGAAATAATATCATTATAAGTATTAAAGTGGTAATAATATAAAATATATGGGAAGAGTGAAACAGGCAAAAATGAATCTTAAAATGAGTGCGGGCAAAAACGGAATATATCTGTATCCCTTTCTTGCGCGCAGTGAAATCTTATCCCGCTTTTGCTCGCAGCCAAAAGTAATTCGTTTTTCCTCGTAGCGTAACATTTGTTTCGTTCTTCCGCGCTTACGAAAACTTGACTCACTTTTGCTTGCACTGTTATTTTATACCACTTTTACTTTGAGCCCCTCAAGTAATATTAAACTCACTCCGGTATTTTCTTCGAGAAAATCTTATTTCCGATTTTTCTTGTTTTTCCTTTTTCTTTTTTGCCATAGCGGACATGTTCCGATCAGTCTTTGCCGCCTCTCTCGTCCAGTCGATACCCAATTAACGGATATCTGCGAAGAAGACCATTTTCCTTGCTTCTCGACTTATCGCCTTCGATACTTCCAAGTAGTTATTAGATTCTCTCTCCAAAGAATTCTTCTTCGACAAATTTTTAAATGCATTTCGCAATGCCACATAAAAACCGTTTATTTCTTTCCTCCAAAAGTCTCGTTATTTTCCGCTTTTCTCTGTAAAACAATTAAAAGAAAAAAGATTAGAGAAAACATTAGAGAAATTTTACCAAAAAAGTAATGGGTAATTTTTCCCCTCCAACCCTGGTTAAAATTTCCGACCGATTTCGGACTAATTAAGAACCGATTTTCGAAAACACTTTTTTTATTATTTTTATCAAACCATTTTTGTCGATTTTCAAAAATTTTAGAAAAACAGATTTATGTTAAAAAACAGATTTGTATCCAAAGTTGGAAATTTGGATAAATTTTAACAAACAAGATTTTTTTCCTTTCATTATTTTTGCCTCACCTAAAGTTTAATCCCTCTTCTCGAGATTTATACATATTCCACCTCGAATTCATTTTAGTTTAATAGTTAAGTTTTCAGACATGGAAGAAAAAAAATTCAATATAGAGAAAGAGAGAGGAAGAAAAAAAGGGTTGAGGACGTTTCGAACGCTTCTTAATTAAGATACTTTTCCGCCTCTCACGATATCAAAACTTTAGTGGACAGTTTGTATATTTTACTTTATTGCGCAAAGCAAAAAGAAAAAAAGAGGCAAAAGTCGATAAAATATTTTTCTGAGATAATTGCTTTTGCTAGGAAGAATAACAAGACTCAAGATAAAGAAGTAGCAATAAGATGATAACAGTTTTGTATTGAAAAATGCCTTCTTTGATGTATCTGTCAAAGGAAAAATATTATTTTTACCCGGATTCCTGGATTTTCTTTACTCATTTCATTTTTTCTTCTCCTTCAATTTCTTTTTTTTACCTGAACTAATAACGATATCCGCAGTCTATATATTTATCTCTCTTTACTGCTTCCCTTTTTTATGCAGGGATTAAAAACTCCAATAATTTTCAAACTTTAATTATATAATCATAGAGTAGAAATTACAGTAGAAAACTTTTACTGTTTTCTCAAAAAGTCATTTTATTTCTTTATATAGAAAAAAAAGGGGAAAAACAAGTCTTATCAACTCAAAAAGAAAAAATTTTCGTTAATTTCGTCAGGAAAAATAATAATGATTAAATATTTATTTAAAGATGGAAGTTATTGACATTTTTGAATAATTTTACAATTATAGTCTTCGCACTCGATAATTAATTTACAAAAAGTAGCTTTCAAACTAAAAAAAGTAGTAAAAAAGTATATCGAAAAATTGAAGTTGACGATAAAAAAAAAACTCGTTTTAGACACTTTACAAAAATGACAAAGATTACATTCCATATTTTTTATTTTCCTGACTTTTTCCTAATTTTCATCAAAAATATTTCTTTCTTTCTTATCATGATGTTAAAAAATTGAATTCCTGCAACGAATTTTATAATTTATGAAAGAATATACATAAATATTTATAAAAATAATTTAATTCTTGCGAAGAATTTTATAAAAATTTTTAAATAATTGAATAATTTCGACTAATTTTATGTAAATTCTAACTTGAATAATTGAATATAAGAGATTTTTATTATTCACGAAAAAAATTGAATTCTTACGAAGAATTTTACAAAGAATTTTTAAATAATAATAATAATTTGAATTCTGTTTGGAAATTTCATGAAAATACTAGATACTAAAAATCATTGAATTGCGAAAAGTTCTTAAAAATAATTAAATTTTACAAAGAATTAAAAATTTTTGATAATAATTGAATTCTTGCGAACTATTTTATTAAAATTTTTTAACATAATTGAATTTTCAAAAAGAAATTTATTACTTTTAAAAATAATTAAATTCTTGTGATGAATATTGTTATATTTATAAAAATAATAATAATAATATTAAATAATTGAATTCTTACAAAGAATTGTAAAAAACATTTTTTTAAATAATTGGTTTTTTCGAGGAATTGAAATTAAATTTTTATGAAAATTCAATTTTTTGAACAATTCCTGTAAAATTGTATTAAAAATAATTAAAATCCTGTGATGAATTTTTTAATTTATGAAAATAATTGAATTCCTAAAAAGATTTTGATTATTTACGAAAATAATTGAATTCCTGAAAAGAATTTGATTATTTATGAAAATAATTGAATTATTGCGAAAAATTTTATGAAAATATTTAAAAAGAATTGAATTTCTGTGAAAAATTTTATTATTTTTGAAAATAATTAAATTGTTCATAAGAATTTTATAAAAATTATTTTAAATAATTAATTTTTATGAAATATAATGAATATTATTAAAATTTTATTTTAAATAATTGAATTCTTATGGAAAACTTTATTTGTAAAAATAATTGATTTTTCGATTAATTAAGTGAAAATAGTATTAAAAATAATTTAAATTCTTCGATGAAGTTTATTATTTATGAAAATAATTTAATTCTTGTTTAGAATTTTATCAACAATTATTTTTAAAAATTGAATTTCTATGAAAAATATTATTAGTGAAAGGAATTGAATTATTGTGATGAATAGTATAAAAATTTTGTTAAATAATTGATTTTTTCAAATTTTTTTTGAAAGTGCCATTCTAAATCAGGTACCTAATTAAATTCCTGTGGAAATTTTATTATTTATGAAAAAAATTGAATTTTGGATTTGGATTGAATTTTTAGTGGCTGAAATGTAAGAAAAGTATATACCCAAATAGTAACATAACGTAAAAAAGTAGTAAATAGTACGTTTTAGTAGATGAGTGAGAAGCCTGCAATTAAAGAAATTCGTAAACAAATGTAATAAAACATTTTATTAATTTTATTTTAAAATAAAATTTTAAAACATTTTATTAAATTAATAAACATTTTATTTTTAAATTAAACTCTAGAGTGAAAATTTCGAGTATCGGTGTGAAACACCCAGGATACATTTTAAGGGTTAAATAATTTTTTTCTAGAAAAATTTTATTTCCCTAATTCAAAGAGGAGATATTCGAGAATTAACGGAAATTCCAGTATAATAAATAATTCTGCATAAATTGAGGCCTTGGATCCAATAACTCGCCCGACGCTCGAAGACACGCGCTAATACCAGTCGGGTAGCAGTGAATGGCCCAGAGGCGCTCACTGCTCACTGACTGGCAGTTGCGCGTTCCTCCGAGCGTCGGGCGAGTTATTGGATCCAAGGCCTCAATTATATTTTAATTTTATCGCATCGCAACTTTTTCTATGACACTCGATCAATCATCAAAATTAGGCTCATTATGAATCCAGAGGAAAAAAAGGGGAACAAAAAATATGTTATCGAGCTTATAAAACAATTTATTCTCTATATATGCTTAATAGAGAATGAGAGAATAAAAAAAATGGTAAGCGTATATGGAACGTTATAAAAAAGCATTAATACTGTTTTTTTTCTGTATATTCAAAGATTAAAGGCTATTTCATCGGAGAGCCAGACGCCAACATGAGAAATGCATCCATGGAGCGGAGATTTGGCAAAAGCCTTCCGAGGACGAAAGAGATGGCCAGTATAGTACAGCGAGAGAAGCTTACATCCGTAAGCTGCAAGCTTTACCCGCTGGGAGATCGACGGTTCTGTATTTTCTATATATCCAGAGTATTCACCCTTCACCCCCTGCACCACTTCTAGTTGAATATATCCTTATACTCTCTCTCGCCCTTGTTAGTCTCATGGGACTTAACGAACACAACTCTTCAGTGTTGATGTTCGGCCCTATATTTTTCAAAAACGAAATACCATACCATCTGGGAGGATTCACTTTGCGGTCGTTTCTTTAGTTGATGGAAAAACATTATAAACCCACATATGTCCAAAAGTTTCGTTTTTCGCATGCACATCGACACACCCAGGGAAAAATTTTATATTATAAAACATTATTTTAATCACATTCCGTTCCTCGTTCCGTTCACAATAAAAAAAAGCAAAAAAGTATATAATTGTTTGTCACCGGGGATATATCTCTCTCTAGATCAATTTAAACAAATGTATTTTTACCAATTTTTTTTCAAATTAAAATAAAAATTAGAAATTACTTTTCCCCTGTATGATTTTTTTCTCAAACTCTATAGTAGTTACTTTGTATAGCTTATAAACCGCAGTAACATTTTCACTTTTCCATTGTTTACCATGCATAAATTTCCAAATAACAATTACCACCCCATGTTCCTTCGAATGGTGTCATTAAACAGGAAATGAAAACGCTTTTGCGGGGCTTATCTGGGTAATTTTTTTTCTCAAGAAAACCCTTGTGCCCCATACCGTATGTCATTAATGTCAAGGGAGAAAATTTATTAGTCGTGATGCTAAGACACCCGTCAAGAAAGTTGAGAATCTTCATAGCCATAACCGCAGTGGGGTCTCTAAAATAAATGAGAAGACAATAGAAAGTTGGATTTTTATTGAGTTTAAAATTTTATATATTATTCTTATATACATAGATATATGTAATATGCAATAAGCTTAAGGGAATAACGAGCAAATGAAGCAAAGCTGCGAGTTAAAAGAGGAAGAGGCAATATGTATATATATAAGGAGGGTTGTGTGCAGTTTTGAGCTGACACGCACGCACTAGTGCGTTTGAGATCAATATAACCCAGGCATGCATAGAATACCCTCACGTCTTTCCACATATACACAACAACACCCCCCCCCCCAAGTATGCCTCAAATGTTTTCCATGGCTTCCCTTTCAAACTAAGAATACCTTCCAGTCAGGTGTTTACAATTATTATAAATATACAACTTTTGTCAATGAATTTCAAACTTTTCGGGATCAATAATAATTTTTGTTAAAACTTATTCGATTTGGTATATTATTTTTTTTATTATTACTATTATTAATATCTTTATTACAACTATTACTGTTATTATTATTTTACATACACTTAAAGTTTCAAAGCACACACAGAAAGATTCAAGACCTACAACCTACAAGTCAAATGTTGAGGAGAAACCCACTTCCAACAACCTTAAACCTAAGGTCATTTTTTTATCTGTACAAACAGTCCTCCAATCATCCCTTTGCCTCCTCAAAATTAAGGTCATTTTTGACCTAAATCTCAAATGTTGAAGGGCAAATCCTTTCAAGCTCATTTTGGGGTCA